ACCAACGCGACGGTTGAAATAAATTTAAGTTGTTATAGAACATGTAACTTTGTCATTTGGGTAGTGGTTTTATTCTAGAAATGGCTGCGTTATGGCATTATAATTTGCTATCTTTTTTTTTATATTTAACGACACTTGGAAGAATATGCTTCGAAACAAATACACCGACTTCAATTAACTGATACCACGGTCTTGCAGGAAACTAGTGAGGTTCTTCGAAGGTTAACCTCCACTCCTCCTCTAATTTTGACAGGGGTATTGTCTGTATGTATTTGTGTGTATTTAATGAATATTTGTAAAGTCAAATGCGGGACTTGTCCTCTAAAAAAAAAAGATTGTGTAAAAATATATTTTCGAAATTGAATTATCAGATCTCTAGTAATTAATACAGGAATTAGCGCTAATCACTATGTAGATAGATAGATAGATAGATAGAACTCTTTATTTGTACACCATTTTACAAGAAGCATGATAGTTATATGAAAGTGTTAGATATACAATGTACAAAGGGCGGCCTTATTGCTAAGAGCAATCTCTTCCAGGCAACCTTAGGTAGGTAGGTATTATTAAACTGTGTACTAGCTGTCCACGGTCACTGTAACCTGATCGAAACGTTAACGTTAGGTAAGTATTAATAATTATTCTTTCTCCGAACATTTTTTTCCAAACTAGGTTAGGGTCGGCTTTAAGTATACCACTATACGTCTGAACTTCGATGTTTTATGTGAAGTGACTGCCATTAGACCTCCACAATTCAAGTACGGCAAGAAGAAAGACTGTTGTCGGATTTTTTAGGGTCTTCAACTACCCGTAAAGATTGACACAGTCGTTCGTCTGGCAACCCAGACCGGCGGCTTAACGTGCTCTCCGAGGCAAAGTAATACCTATTAAACATACTATCACACATACAACGAACATATTACGAGAGAAACATTGTGTCAATGTGGGATACAATCCACATGTGTATACCAAATTTAGTATAAGTCCCTTCAGCGCCAGAGCTTATTTAAATGACAAACATCAAAGCGAATTATATTTCAGCCGCCTTCATATGTTTTGTAATATCAATACGTAAATATGAAATTTCATTTTCTAAAAATACCAGGCGTAATTTCTTTATATCACATTTGCTTCAAGAGTTTTTAAGATGATGATAATGTTAGCTAAACACTGTATATTTCTGCGAATAATTCCCTAAATCATTACTTACATTAAAAATATGCTTCTATATTATAATAAGAATCGTACTGAAAACCAAGCAATTTTATATATTTGTATACTGTTTATACAGGGTTACTGGATAAGTCGACCTAAATACTTTAAGGGGTTGTAGTTGCCAACATTTGTTATAGATTTCACTATGAAATACCATATCTCAAACCCAAACATTTTTAAGATATTGGACATTCAAGATTTAAAAAGAAATTGCTTAAATTTTGCTTGGTATTTTTTTTGTATAACTCATCAACTTATCAAAATTACACCTTTTTTTCTTTTTGCTCCAATATTAAAAGTCTAATATATTGAAAATGGTTGGGTTTATGACATGGTATTTCATAGTAAAATCTATGTATTTAGGTCGACTTACCCAGTCAACCTGTATATTTGTTTACACGAAATATATTTGTTTGTTCAAATAGTTGTTGTTGTTGTTGTTATTCGAATTTAATAATCCTAATAATTCAGTGCTTGTAGAAAGTAAAATTTCTGATAATGAAGTTGAAAGTTAAAAAAATATATAAAATAAATGACGTTCAAATTTAAAACTTTTCTCCAAAAGATGTTTAAGTTTTTTTTAAACATTCTGACATGTTCCCTAAAGCGAGCCATGCTCCTTATCACCGAGTGAGTAAAGATACCGGATGCTAAAACCACCTCCCCTATTTCTGCGGAAGGGGGAGAGTGTGGAGTTATAAAGGGTGACAACAATAGACGAGACAAAATTACAGGGAACTGTGAATAACGGTGATTTATCATTTGATTTTTTCGTACGTAGGAAAGGGTTACTACTTACTCACCCTTTGTTGCCAAAAAGCCGTTTTCAGACGATGCATAAAGACCCTATTTTGTCTATTTAACAGTAAATCTAGTAATTATTTTATTATATACAGCTACTATTGAAATACTATTAAAATACCTACCTAACAATTCTAACCTAAGAAAATGAAACAAAAGTTAAACATACACAAAGAAACTAAAAGATTAGTAAGGTTTGATAAACACGTTAATAAGGCAAGATTTTTCAATATGTCAATCTTTCATACCTGATAGAATTGACATGAAGAGTCAATGTGCCACGTATCCAACCACGCGTCTATGAAATGGTTTTTATAATAACTATTATTTATTAACTAATACTTATCAAACTATGGACCATAAAAAACCTTTAATGTTGCTGAGGGTTGTAGGCCGTGTTTCAGAAAATAGGTGGACCCTCAGTGTACACTACGGTGGATAGATGCCACCTCAGTACTGATTTTAATGCCTACCTAAGTTGTCACCCTGATGCCGACAGCCGCTATTGCATATGATAATAAAATATACAGGTGAGTAGTAGATTTTGTCCCATGTCTAGTGACAACGCACTGGTGACTCTTGACTTGTAGGTGTCCATGGGCGACGGTAGTTACTTACTATCAATTAATGAGCCGTCTGCTCGATTGCTTGTCTGATTGCTGTCTGATTGATCGAAGTCAAGACAAATAATTATTCTACGTATGTCTATGTGGCGTCCGTCGTCCACACATAGTAGAATTAAATAAGTAATACCTTACGGTTGAGTTAACAAACAGTTCGTTTTAACAACTACAATAACAACAACATAATAAAAGTGAACACTTTTATAATTATGTTAAAGAATACTCGAAGCTGTTTAGGAAACTTTGTAAATTGGGTAAGTCTCGTTTTATAAGTTCAAATATTAAAAGTAGCAATGATAATATTATAACCACTTTGAAAATTAATTTTTATTTCTGCGGTATTGCCGGACCAATACGACCTTCAAACCTTCAAGAAAAGAGCGTACTCCTTCCTAAAAGGCCGGCAACGGCTTTGTGACTCCTGAGTTGCAGATGTTCATGGGCGGCGATGGTCACTTTCCATCAGGTGACCCGTCTGCTCGTCTGCCCCCTCTAAAATGGCATAAATCAATACGGTCATAATGAATTTAATTTAAATGTAAACAATTAATTTATTTCATTTCACAATTCAAATCTGGTAGTACATCTGACCCAAGTAACTTTAGACCTATCTCAGTACTACCAGTATTTAGCAAAAAAAAATTAAAAATTAAGTAGGATCAATTGCAAAGTTTTTTTTAACAATAATAATTTATTACACAATAGGCAATTTGGTTTTACAAGGGGTCGCTCCACAACTATGCCAGTATTGAGCTAGTAAAACATTTATTTGATGCTTGAGAGGATGCCCATGATTCTCTAGGTATCTTTGCCTTTTGAGTGTGTTGTTCATGAAACGCTGATCAGGAAATTACAGCACTATGGTATCAAAAATAAAGCACTGGAACTTCTTGCTTCATATCTATATGATAGGATTACACAAAGTTCTATTCTCGCCCCTTTTTGTTTTCAGTATAAATTAACCACTTACCTCACCTTGTCAAAGACAATCACGAGATTGTGTTGTTTGCAGATGACAAATCACTATTTTTTATATTCAAACGGACACTTCCTAATTTCACAGACGTAAACAGCGCCATTTCGAAAGTGGTTAATTGGTTTGACGGCAACAATTAGCTTTTAAATGAACAAGAAGCTAAGTATATACGTTTCACTATACCAATGAAAACTACTGTGATGATTAAGGATGTCGGGTAAGACCTTGTGGACACCACGACATTTTTAGGTATAACACTAGATTCTCAGCTACAGTGGGGCCCACATATTGTTAAATTATCGAGTAGACTCAGCTCAGCAGCATACGCAGTAGAAAAATTCGAGAGTTGACTGATGTTGATACAGTACGACTTGTTTTCTTCAGTTATTTTCATAGCATAAAGTCGTACGGTGGTATTCTACTGTGAGGCAATGCTGCCGACATTCTAACTATTTTTGTACTGCAAAAGAGAGCGATTCCAGCATATATATGTATAATTAAGGCAATCGTTGTTCATTGAGGCAGAAATTTAACGAAATAAACATAATGACTGTGGCAAGTCAATATATTTATGCAAATGTAATATATGTTCATAAAAACAAATGTATAATTCTATAAATACCAGAAAGAGAAATAAACTTGTAGTATCCGACTGTAGGCTCCAATAGATAAACATGTCTTTTCGAGGTCAATGTGTCCGATTTTATAATAAAATCCCAAATAATATTGAAGACTTAAGTATTAAGAAATTTAAATCCGCAATAAAACGTGGATTGTGCCAGAGAGCTTATTAGTCAATTGTGGATTACATAGAAGAGAAAAATGCTTGGGATTAATTAGCGCAGACCGTTTCTTAAGTAAAAATGTGGTGTGGGCTAGTGTGTTTTTTATTATTATTACTTCATTTTCTCTTTTATTCGTTTTTTTTTTCTTAATCTTGTTTTCTCTTCGTTGTCTTTTTACCTTTTAGTCCTTAAAATCGGACAGTATCATCATTTTATAATCCTTAGGTTTTGTTGTGAGGCTGTATGGTATTATTTATTTGTAACCTAATTTCTGCAACAGTAAAAAAAATATATGATACCTGCTTTGATACCTGCTCTCGTTTTCACAATGTATTTACTTTTAAATATGAGTATATTCTAATTTCAATTCACTGGTTTCAAAATAACGTTTGGATTAAAATTAAGATAATGTACATAGATTTAGAATTAATATGATTTTTTTGTCTTTATAGAAACAAAATCTGTGTAGGGTGTACATTTTAAGTCTCTAAATATTATATCAAACGACATGGACAAATCTGATCGAGATATTTCAGTTTGAATTAAACAATGGCAAGAATGAATATAAATAGTTTGACTTTAACACTATTTTTTTTCCAGTTGGTGTACACGTGGAAGATGGATTTCAATCGCAGCATGTTGGGTGCTGCAACACTTCTCATGCCCAAAACCACAGCGTCACCGTCATCGAACACTATGCCGACCTGGGCACATAACTCCTGGGTGTGTCTCTTCGCAGCTATGCTGGTCGTCGCTATTGGCGGCAATGTTATTGTTATATGGATAGTCACAGGTGAGGATTGCAATTTTCGCTTTTTATATTTATAAGCTTTTGGAAATGTAGTCTCAAAACATTGTCCCACAAAGGGAAAAGAAAGGAAAGTGCGAGTTCGTTACCATTACACACTTCTATGGAGCCTAGGGAGCCATGCCTTGGCAGATATGGGCCAGGCTCGACCGGATTGATACCATAGCCCATACGGACTGCAAGGATAGCGTATTGGTTTAAGAAGTCACCACGCGGCTTCCTACTACGCTGTGTTGTGGGTTCAATCCCCACATGGGGCGACACTTTGTGTGATCCACAAATTGTCATTCTGAGCCTAGGAGTTTCTTGTGTCGGTTTTATGTATGTTTATAATATGAAACAGGATGTATTCCTAGGGCGGGAGTTGTCTTTGAAAAAAACAAAAACAATGGCACTCCGGGAGTGCCGACAGAAGTAAAAGTAAAAAAAATAGGTTTTTTTATTCGAAAAGTTCCGACATGAATGTTTGTTGTACGTATATACACAATATATGTTTATATTATACATATATATAGTTGTATTATCAATGTATTGTAACCCAAACTCAACTCTCGTGTAAACGGGGCCAATATATGTAGATACTTATATTATTATACAGAGATGTCGGTAACGGTAACAGTGTCGCGAGTTCAATGGTTTTTCCCATCTCGAAAAAAAATTACCTAAAAAAATTAAGAAAACTTGTGTCAAGCAGTTCTTTAAATTTCTTTTCACCAAGTGAGTGAGTTTTCCGGTAGCAGATCCTCCTCATCCTGTTTCTGGTGTAAGATTATTGTGCAACGTATTTGTGGCTCTTGAGTTGCAGGTAACCCGTTTGTTTTTTTTGACAGACCCAAAACATCTCCCCTCCGCTGACCCCGCAAAATCTCAAGCTATCATTATTGGTAGCAGGTACATGTATAATAGTCTTAATCACACTTCGCTACCTCCAGTGATATATAATAACACGGTCGTACCTTATGCCACAGAAGTAAAAAATCTCGGTGTTTTATGGACTGTAACTTGTCATGGACCACACACATAACGGAGGTTAGCAAAAAACTTTTTGGATCATATCACTCCCTCAAACGTCTTCAAAATTTTCTTCTTTTCACACTAAAGTACTTCTTTCGTAATCCCTTCTTCTCCTACTGGACTATGCTGATGTCTCTTTTCTTAACGCTACCAAAGAACTCTTTGATAAGCTAGTACGGTTGCAAAATCTATGTATATGCTTCATATTTGGCTTGAAAAAGTACAATCATGTTGCGGAATTTCGGAGAAAACTGAATTGGCTACCTATTCGGCGGCGTCGAGATTATTCAACGCTATACAAACCCAAATTTCTTACATACCTCCACGAGAAAAAATCGATATCATTTACCCCCTTATTATACAGAAGCAAACAAACAGAAAAAAAAGAGTGCAATAATTCCTTTCTCTCACCGAAGATGAGATGTATAGGTATCTAATAGGGGATAAGAACTTAAAATGTACAAATTAATTTACAAGGTCTGATGAAAGAATAAAGTAACAAGAAATAGCGAGGTAGTATTTAATGAGAACCCCCGTCGGGGGTTACAGGCGTGAACATGTTTGTAATTTGTCTTTGACAAAATACCTACGTTCTTTCTTTATTATATTCATCGCTTGTGTAAAAGGAAAGACCTATTTTTAACACATTATTTTTTCTCTTTATCTCAACGGTTGAAATTCCTTCATGTCAGACACTTCACGAAATTTCAGATAAAATTACTACTGCACCGCAACGCAACATTTCAGATATTTTGTGCTTGTGAACGTACGCCTTTGGCTTAACAACTTGTACATCCTGCACAACTTACAAGCTGTTTTCTTAAACGGTATATTTGTTTTAAGTCTCTCCTTAATTTCAACTTTATGGGTTCTCAGTTCCTTTCCAGATTAGGAATATCTTTAACAAATCTATTTACACGTTTATAAATTTAAGGTTTCGTCCTACGTTTTTGTCAATTTTGCTATTCCTCTATTTGGTTTTATGCGAATCTTTCATTATTCCTACAATTTAAAGTTATTTTCTCACAAAAATATTGTTTCGTAATGATGTACGTAACATGTTTCTCACATGTATTTAAAGTAAAATATTTAAAACTAATCGAATTATAATTTTATTGATCTTAATATTATATCTTAATAGTCTATTTATTTAGCTTCTGAATGTAATCATAACCGAGAGAAGAGCAATGCAGCTTCTTTTTAACCGAAGTCAAAAACGCAAAAGTTAAGTAGGTTCTCAATTCGTTTGTTTTTTTTTTCGAGTTTTAAATTCCAGAAAGATGAAATGGTATAAGAATAGGTTATTTTCGGAATAGATTGTAATGATTTTCTTCTCAGTTTTGTATCACTTAGTTTTATTGCATAATTCATTTCTGCTATATATTCTGGGATTTATCTTAAGTATTAATATGTAGGTATCTGTTTTAGGAATCTTAGTCTATCTTATATGACGTATTATTGCCTTCACATATAATCATTTGTGTGTAAACTATGAAAATGGAGAAAGTTTTAGCAGAAATTGTTTTCGAGCAGTCAATAATAGGTATTATAAATTACAAGTGATACAATTTATACCCAATAAATAATTGTGTTTATTGTCACACAGGACGGTTAGATATTATAATTTTAAATTTTATAAAGATGTTTTGGTATTGTCTGATTTAAGAACTAAAAAGTTGGGAGCTATGTTATAAAGTTTGTTAACGTGTTAGTAAGAAACTGACGGAATAGTACGGGGTGCTAAATAAACGATCTTCATAAAGTTTAATTGTTGTATTTATCAGGTCAAAATTTAAGTCACGTGAATAAGGACACCTTGGCTTGATAATGTTTACGTATAAGTCACATATAGCTTAGTTAGTATTACTGTGTGTTTACAAGTACGATAGTGTTTAGACAACCTATTATTTGATGACAACAGAAGTATATTTTTAAACAAAAACTATGAGTTTAATTTTAGGTGTAATAAAATGTAATATTCTTTTCAACAGCAAAATAGGTCGTAATTATGTTAATATTTAATCTAGTTTGAAGAATGAATATGAAGCTCTAATAGTTAAAGGGAAATAATTTTATTAGTTTGTGAATTTTTCTAAACTTCCCTATGAACTTGGAGATTAAAAAAATATTATCTGTAGATTGGCGCGCTACTCATAATTCAAATAAATTTTATTCGAAAGCTATGTTATTTTAATTTAAAGTTCATTCATTTGTTTTGGATTGTGTTTTGTTTTGCGAAAGTGTAGTAGTTTTTGGCGCTAAACTGAAACTTTGTACAATGTTCGAATATGAATGTTCCTATGTAGAAATAAGGCTGCGCAAACAACACGAAATGTTAACGACGTGTACGGGCCTAGCACTGCTTGCATAAGCACGGTCCATTGTTAGATCTGGAAATTTTGAGTTGAAGAACGATTCTCGCGGTCGGCCGGTAACTATAGTCGAGAACGACGAATTGAAGGCGATAGTGTAAGCAGATACAACTCAATCTACGGCTGAGCTTACTGCGGGCTTTGGAGTTAGTGTCAATACAATATTGAAGCACTTGGGTCGAATCGTCAAAAAGTAAGCAAGATTAGTGGGTGCCATACCAACTAAGCGATCATCAGCGAAACTAACGCGTACATGAATAGCACTACTAAATCGGTATAGAAACGAGGGAATTCTGAATCGAATTATTAACTACGATAAAAAGTGGATCCTGTATGACAACCGTAAGCGTTCGTCTCAGTGGGTGGACCTGAAAGAATACCCATAGGAAGATGATGGTGACTGTCTGGTGGACCAGTGCCGGATTTGTACATCACTACTTCTTACCGAACGGCACAACAATAACGGCAGATGTCTATTGCCAAGAATTGCAAACAATTATGGACAAGCTCGCAATTAAACAACTACAGCTACATCGAAAAGCTACAAGAGTTACAGCTGGAAGCTCTCCGTTACCCACCGTACTCACCGGACCATGCCCCAACAGATTTTAACTTATTTCAAAATTTTGAAATTTTTTTTAAGTGGGCAAAAATTCAACACCAGAGAGGCAGTACAAAACGCTTTCGCTGACTTCATCCTCTCCAATCCAGCAGACTTCTACAGTAAAAGGATGAGCAAACTGCTATCATCAATCATCATCATCAACAGCCTTTACTAGTCCACTGCTGGACATAGGCCTCTCCTCAGAAAGGAGGGTTTGGCCTACTACACCACGCTGGCCAGACGGGTTGGTATAGGGTTTGTGTCAAGTTTTCCTTCTCTCTGCAGTGCTTTTGTCCTATGTAGTTTGCTCCCTTAGTCGCCTTTTACGACACCCACGGGATGAATAGGGGTCACCACCCCTATTCATCCCGTGGGTGTCGTAAAAGGCGTTTGGTGGTAAAAGCAGTTTGGTGACGGAATAAGAATACAGAGTGTGGTGACACTCTGTATTCTTATTCCGTCACCAAACTGCTATCAAAATGGCAAAATTGTAGATAATTTGGACCAGTACCAGTAAAAATTAAATATTTTAAATTTTTTATATATATCTCCAACTTCATAGGTAATATTGAAATTATTAAATTATAGCCACATCCGTTTGCCTATTTATAAACGAAATTTGGGTTTGGTGAGTGCAGTGGATTCGTTAGAGCCTCGATCAATACCTTAAGGGCTCGCAATTAGAAAATAAGGCTCCAAAGACGGGAGTTGAGCAGACGGGTCACGGGTAAGGGGGGGGCCGGTAAACATAGATCACAAGGTCATCTATTGGAAGTCAACCACTATATCAACAGGCCAGGCAAGTAATAAAAGAATAGAAGAATTTGCTAAACTATGTTTTATTGGTTATTAAAAAAAACTCCACTGAATAAAACCTTGACCTCACAAAACCAACGGAATTTAGAAAGATTTTGATAAAATCATGTCAGAACTCGGCCGACCCTTCACATGGTAACCGTTGACAAGTGACTCTCTTTGCGTGTTATTAAACATTGTTGTTCTAAATACCGTTCTAAAATACGAGTACGGAGCAGGCGTACGGCAGAATTGGGAAATCAAAGATTTAAAAAAAAAAAAGAGATATTTTGTAACTCCTAAAGGTCAAGGTTCCTTCCAGCAACATAACATAACGACTACTTAACGTAAATACATTTAAAACTAGATAAATAAGATAAAACACGTTGTCAGTGCTGTAAAATTTGTGGGTTTCCCTCGATTTCTCTAGGATCCCACTACTACTACTACTAGGATACTACAGTTGGGTACGATATACTTAGGTACGTAGTGTTTTAAATATCGTACTTATCTACTTAGGTATTGCAAACATATCTTACACTAAAATTAATAACATTTATTTATTTATTATTTAACATAAATCCCTTTATTAAAAGTTGAACAGACTTCAAACAATACTGACAAAGAGCACTAAAAATTAAAAAAATATTACTAATCTAAGTTTAAAAACTATGATAAGTACCCTTAATATAACAGGTAACATTATAATAGCAATAGTCCCTTCTAGTCTGTTTGAAGACGGTGTCAAGCCCGATGCACAATAAGTAATACTGCAATGGCTTAATATTGGCACAATAAAAAATTAAGCATTTAATATAATTCCAATGAAACATAGCAGATTTTGATTAAGCATTCAAAATAATCATATCATTGAAGATGTGCGTAATCCACTTTAGCTCGTTCGGCATGTTTTACGCAACATGAAGACTGTTGCAGCTACCGCAGTACATTCTACCAAGGCTATCAAGCATCTATATGACTTGGCACCGACTTCAAACAGTTCGGCTAGTTACAAAAGCGTTTTTTTTTAAATTTTTAATCTAAAATTTAGCATTTGCTTTTTCAGTTTCAAGACTAAAGGTAACAAGTATACTAACTTGTTATTTTTTGTCATAATAAGAAAATAATTGGCGCCTTATCAGCCTGATCAGAATAATCGGGAAAACTTATCAAATTATTATACTATTATTATCGGTCCTTTATAAGGGTGCGAAGTTTGACTTGTTAACGACACCCCAGTGGTGTCGTTTACAATACACGTTTTCAACATTCACTATTACCTACACAACACTATTACCTATGTTCACATTTGGAACGGTTAAATTAATTTTCCAGACTAATGTCTCATAAATATTTCGAGAGTAAATTCAGATACCTAAATGATTACGAGGTAATACCACCTCAAATTAAAACATAATTTGAAATAATTGGCAGAATTGTATTAATTGAATTATGTACTAAAACCATTTTGTTGTATATGCATAACAAAATAATATAGATATAAACATAAATTAATATATTATATTTAATTTATAGTTAATTACTTTTGAAATCAAGAATACATACAGTACAGTACAGCTACAGTAGAGCTACATTACGTAGGCGGCAGTAGTTGGTAGGCTTCTATATAAGCTACGGTTGCGTAGCACTTGTCCAATATTATTAGTTACTTAGTAGTTACTTACAAATATTTATTTGATTAATCTTGTATATATTTGGTATTGGCTACCGTTACGGTAATCAACAGCATATTCAAAAAGATTACTAAGAATATGTGGACATGGATGTCACCTAAAGAAACTAAATATCAACTCGACTGTATTATGTCTAATTCAAAAGAAAATTTTACGAACATAGATATTTTAAACCAACTGAATTTCCCAAGCTACCACCGCCTTAAAGGAAGTGAGTTCCAAATATCAACAACCAATAAATGTAGAGTAAAATATAACCTAACAAACTACACTTTGAAAACAATAGATAATGAAAACCTATTCCTGGAAAATCTGAAACCGACCGACCGAACCGAATTATCAACATGCGCAAATATAAAAAAATATTATTAAAATATAAAACAGCTATCACTGAATTCATTAATATTATAAAGAAAACAATAAACAAATCAAGACAAATTATATCTGAAGATATAAGGCTACTATTGAACAAAAGAAAAAAACAGGAACTTAGTAACCCATATAAAAGTATACACAAAAGAATCAATAAAGAGTATGAAGCCCACAGACTGAAGATAATAGAAAAACATATTTCTGACACCGGAAGTCTAATCCCGACTGTGAAGGAAAAATCGTATGAAATATCCTCGAGGTCAAACATAATAGAGACAGCCACTCCCTTCTATAAGGATTTATGTTCTAGTAAATATAATTCTTTAAATAACTATCTATGTGAAATATCAAGAAACAGACCATCTTCCCATCCACCACCACTTCAAAGATTCAAAAATAACGAAATCCTTATGAAAGTTGATCTCTAAAGAAAGTTAAAAGCAGTGGCCCTGACAACATATCCAACGAAATAATTCATTAAAAAGGGCTGCTGTTAAATATAACAGCAGCCCTTTTTAATGAAGCACTAGACTCTAGACAGACTTTAAAATTATTATTTTTATATTAGAGGGGGCAGACGAGCAGACGGATCACCTGATGGAAAATGACCATCGCCGTCCATAAATGTCTGCAACTCAGGAGCCGCAAACGCGTTGCCGGCCTTGTAGGACGGAGTACGTTCCGAAAATACCGCAGGCGATATCCCGTTAAACAGATGTGGATGAATATTTTGCCATATGGAACGATGACGGATAGTTGCGGCAGATATTAGTCCGAACAATTCCTCGGAGCACTCTCCATGATATATTCGATAGAGAATGCAGAGCATGTTTGGGTTATCGACGATTCGAGATGAGAACAGTATTCCATATGCGGCCGGACTTGCGCTTTATAGAGGTGAAGGCGGTGGGCCGGACGAAAATACTGCCTCGATCTGTTCAGTACACCGAGCTTCAAATCAGATCCTGCAAATATTGCAAATTACCGT